TTAAAAGAAAAAGCCGAACTTATCTCTATACATGAAAATAAAGTGTTTAAACTCCTCACCTGAGAGTTAACTATTGAAGAGGAAAATAAAATAACCATATCACTGGATGCGCCATTTCAACTGGACCTCCCCACTTGAAGTTCGTAATAAAGTAAATTAAACAAATTATTAAGAAAGACCTGATCTCTGAAGAAGTATTACGGGAAATTTCAAAACAAAGTTAGAAGCTGATAGTATTCATCTTCCATGATATATTGCGAATAAACTATGCACAAAGTATTTGGAAAATAGCACAAATCATTATGTTTCTCAAACCAGGGAATAAGCCAGAAGATGTCTCTATATGGCCCATAAGCTATTTCTCTCCAAACTATTTGAGAAGCTCTGTGCTAAAGGGTTAATGTGGTAATATATTAAAAGAAAATAACCCCGACCACCAGTTTGGACAAGTGCACAGATTAGTAAACCAGGATCTGAATGACTAAAGGTATCGCTCCGCAGTCTTTCTTGACATTTGCAAGGCATTTGACAAAGTGTGGCGCAGCGGATTTTAAATCAAACTCAAAAAGTTCCTCACTCATCCGCACTACCAACTGCAACTCTCACTATATACAGCAGAGCTACCAACAATAAAAACTACAACTGTAGCAATTTACACACTAATCCGGCAATGGCTTCAAGAAATCTACAAACGAATTTAATTATCGCATTGGCTAAAAATATGGCGATTCAAAACCAACGAAACAAAATTCAAGCACGTAACATTTTCATTACGTAAAAAACATGCCTTCCAGTGATTATCAACAGCAGTGAACTTCCGCAAGCAGAGAAACTAAGCTCATTGACCGTAAATCTGACCTGTCCTTAAACAAAAAAGTGTTATTATATATAGCTACCCTGAAACCAATACGTACTTAGGGCATCCAACTATGGGACACCGCTAGTAATTCAAACATGGACATCCTTCAGAGGTTTCAAAAAAGTTGAGTGCAATAGTAGGCGGATATTATAATGCAAATGATGGTCAGAACTCCCCAGGGGAACTCAGAGGAACCGGATGTCTTAAAAAATGAAATAAGAATGGCAGACAAAGCAAAGCAACAAAGCGCCTTAATAACATTACTGGAAAGATACTACAAGCAACAGCATGGCATACTCTGAAGTGGCCAGATGAGTGGACTAGGTGTTCAGTGAAGACCTTCTACAAAAAAGGATCTATCACTGAATGTGACAATTATGGCATTATAGTCCTTCTTTCACACGCCAGTAAGATGATATTACTACCAGATAAGGCGGGCTTTGTCAGGGGCGATATTCCATTCTACGTATGCCCTATTAATAAGAAAAATGCTTTCCGTAAAGTTTCAAAACATCTCATATTCTTGATGGCCAGTTTATACCATGATATTAAATGTTTTGTGAAACTCAACATTTCCTCATCTGAATTTCAACCTCTCTGTGGAGAGACCTGAACTGTTTCCATCAATAGAAGAAATTTATACTTGAATTTGATATACCTGAAACCAAAATTTTGAAAGTGGACAAAAAAACTACAACAGATGGCAAGTCCGTAAAGAAAAGCTACAAGATGCTCCGATCCCCAAGTCTTGAATGATGAGACATTATAAGATGTGCTGGCGCGAAAAGCTCAATATGTGATGGACAGAACATAGACGAACGTGTTTATATTCCAGGAACTTCATAATTCCTAGACGATTAGACGGAGAAGCTCATAAACCATTGTAAAGTTGAGGGGAAAAATTGAAGAGACCATTTCAAGAGTTAGTCCTGGGGGCCAAAGACAGAGAAACTTGTAAAAGTAGAGTGAATGACTTTGTCAAAGAATGAACCACTACATTCTCTAGATTTCTAATTCTTCTTCAGTTTTTGAGTCGTTTGTATACAAGATTATTTTCGTCTTTATCGGCGGACCATTTTCCAGTCATCTCTGGTTGAGTTCAGTGATGTTTGAACACCGCCAATCAAATATTGATGACTGCCCTTGCAGTAAGCTATCACTGGCAGATTTTTATTGTTATAGTAGAGAGGAGGGAAATACGGAACTAAGATTGAAGCGAAATATTTTATAAAATAATATAATGAAGAAAATAAAGAAACTATACTCGGCAAAGTTAAGGGGATAATAAACTACAGGACGCTTCTTTTTTCTGCTGGTATGATTTTTCCCAAATTTACATTGAATTTGCAACCAAAGGGGACGATTGTACTTACCAAGTTTTAATGAAATATGAGTTGAAATGTCGTCAACTATTCAACTCAACTTTTTGGCTCACTCTGTATAATAAAAAACTGAAATTGTCAATGTTATGATCATATTGGTCATCGTTTTTCTCTTATTTATGTTGGTTGTTGTTGTTTTTCACTCCAAGGTCACTCCCACCTCTTAAAAGACGAAAAACTGTCGAGGACCAAACTGTCGAGTGGATCAAATATCCGAATTCTGTAAGCAAAAGTGGCCACTTTAAATATGCTAGAGTGGGTAAGTATATAGAGCTTTTACCAATTAACCAATTCTATAAGAGAAGTGGGGAGACAATAACGGGCTAAAAAAAATAAATGAGAACTAAAAGTTCAGATTTTCACGAAATTATATATTATGAGATGACAATTGTTTCGACAACACCGTGTCTTTATCAAATATGAAACATTTGATAAAGACACGGTGTTGTCGAAACAATTGTCATGTCATAATATATAATTTCGTGAAAATCTGAAATTTTAGTTCTTATTTATTTTGATAAATGGATTTTCATCAAGTAAAAGCCACCTCAGTTCAAGTAACGGGCTACTGGTAACTAGAGAGCAACACAATAATTTCGGGATTGCCCAATAATAATGTACTAAGAGCTTCGCTCGTTAGGTGGTTTTTGTGTATTTAATGGTTATTATCTTGACGCAGTTCTTACTTAAGTCCTAACCACTCTTTTTAAACCAATATGCTTTTAACCCATATTACTCAATGTCGCATTTTTTATTGTATTATTTTGTTTTAAAGGATACTTTGCCACATTATCGTGCGGATAATCCAGCTCAGTTTGTGATGGACTGTTCTCTCTTAATAACACTGATGAAGCATACATTTATGGGCGAAATTTTGACTTCATAAAAAACAGGCAAACCCATTGAGCGTATACACCTTTATTTGCTGCATATATTATTGGGCAAGCCCGAAGTGATACATATATTGAACAGATCGACTCGCACTCTCGACAGACTTTGATATAGGCACACAATTTTAGATGTCCTCCTCCTCTTGCTAGGATTGTTTTGTCATCCATTGTCTGGCGTAATTCTGGGCAATGAACTTTCACTGGCCACTTAATCAGCGCTTTCGTTGGTGGTATTTGCGCCTTGGTGCATTATAAAACCAACGTGGAGGTTATACTGCTGGATTGTACCTTTCCTCTTAACGCTTGGTTCCCAGTGTAGAATGCAAATGTTTTAATTTTTTTTATTTCTCTTGCCTAGTGTTCCAGTGCTGTATTTTTGGTTAAAACTCTGTTGCTAGCTTATCCAGTGATTTATGTATTCTCGTGAGTTTATATAAGTTGTTGTTGAGTTGCCCCGTACCTGGCTGTATGAAGTCCACTAATATTTAACAAAGCAATACTTGGCTGTATATAGCCGGCCTTAGAACTGCCTTTGCCTTTATCTCCCTTCGTTGCCGTGTCCATCAAATACTGGTGACTGGATTACCTGGATTTGAATTCCGAAACTTTAGGTAATAATCTTGTTGCATTTTATGTTAATGACCCCCCTTGGATAATTATATTCAAAAGCAATTTGTCACTTTCTTATATCTATGAACAGACCATATATGGTTATGACATCGAAACCAAAGCCCAGTCGTCAGAATGGAAGAACCCAGAATCGCCAAAACCGAAAAAAGCACGTCTAGATCGATCAAATATCAAGGTTTTGCCAACTTTTGTTTGATTATCATGGCGTAAAACAGCAAGAGTTTTTACCACAAGGTCGCACGGTCAAAAAAGTTGAAGTGTTGCACCGTTACCGAGAAGCAATAGGAACAAAACGTCCGGAATTGTGGGAAAACAAGTCATGGATTTTACTTCCCGATAGTGCACCTGCTCACTCATCGTTGTTTGCGTTTACCTCAGAGACTATAATCACCGCATATGGCCCTTTGCGACTTTTTCCTGTTCCCAAAACTCAAGAAATCCATGAAAGGGAGGAGGCTTGGAACGAATGAGGCAATGAAGAGAAAATCGCTGGAAGAACTCAAGGCTGTACCAGAAAGTGCTTACCAGACGTGCTTCGAGGTTGGGAAAAACGTTAGCACAATTGTGTTATATCTGTGGGGATTACTTTGAAGGGGACAATATTAATTTTGATTATTAAATAAATACTTTTTGATAAAATTTAAAAGTCACCTTACTTTTTGAATACTCCTCGTAGACCATAATAATCCATCATTGGGTGATTGCATATAATAGGGAGTATCTACTACTGGGCTTTCCATTTAAAAGCATATAAGTTTGTTTTCCCGCATATTTATGAATAAGTTAACATAATTTTAAATTGTTTCTTTCAGTCCTATATGAAACTTTTGTATTTAACATTTCTTTCTAAAATAACTTCGACACTCTAATATACAGCACATCTCAATAAATTTTCTTTTAAACAGATTAAACTCTCCATTCTTTTACATGGTTTACTCAAACTAGTTTCGGGACCAGTAACTTTTTCGGAGAGTTTTTGCATATAATAATATTAGTAGGTGCTTAGTTTTGTAATGTAATGAAGTCTACAATCTTGGTAGAAAGCTTGACGTATTTCAGAGGAAACGGTAGTTGTTATAGAAGCATCTGAGATCTTTCATTGCTCCCTCTGACCTTGCCCTGGCTTGCTCGTGTGATGATATCTATACAAATTTTAAATTATGTACTTTATAAGTCTCCTAGGATGGTGCACTGACTAAATTAACAAATAAAGATACGCACAAAGTTCTCTGATTTTAGGAAATCTATATATCAATCAAGGTGACCATATAGTGATCGGTTCTGACGAAGCAAGTAAACCATCACGAATAGGATACGTGGTCTACATGTTTGAAGGGGAGGATGGTGAAAAAATGGCCCACGTGGGTTTTTACGAACGTGGCACCGACACTATAATGGGTGACACTTCAGATCCGAGAGAATTGTTTCTTGTACACGGATGCGTGGATCTTTATTTAAGCGCCATATCGAGCAAAGCAAAGGTAATTTCAGTATATTTTTTATTTAGATACAAGCTGTACAAAAACCAAGGAAAAAGGCTTACAAGTATTTTCGTTAGTCAAAATAAAGCCCTTGATATGCATCTGGGTGCAGGTTGTATGGCTAGCTGACAAGATCGTTTGAAATAAGGACGCCAGTTCAATAAAATGCGGAAGATATTTCCACAAATATAAGACTCATTCTTATTAATCCCTGCAATTGAATTTGAGATAATTGGTGCAATAAAAAATTGAGTGATGACAATTGTAATTATAAATAATAATAACAATAATAAATGAGTTAAAATTGTGACAAAAATGTGAGATTTAGTCCGTTAAAGATTATTATAATGGTTTAGGTTTAGGTATATATATTTAACCACATTATATGAAATATATGTGTAGCAAGTTAAATGAAAATAAAAAAATAGATATTAGGATAATAAAACAATTCATCATAAAAGTACAAAACTTATAGTCACGAAATTTGTAAAAGTAAACGCGGGTTTAAAATTTGAATTTTAGGTATTCATCAGTACTGTAAAAACAGTTTATTGTCAGTAGATGCTTGACAGCTTGCAAGGCGTTTTATATTACAAGGCAAAGTTTGTTCATAGATATAGGAAAGTGACTAACTGATACGAATTAAGGAAAGACCCGTGCAAGCTGTAAGAATGAAATTTGGCCGAACAGGTCCGTACTTCGCTTAGAATTTAATTATTTAGGGTTTTGTTAGGAAAGATACTAGACAATATTTATTTATTTATGTATTTATTTATGTTTAAATCTAAAATAAAATTACAAATTATTTTTATTACCTACCTAGGTTACTTAAAATTATTCACATATTATATCAGTTTCATTATTGCTATCATCGTCTGTTCTAATTTTCATTTGTTCTATGTTATTTGCAATATGGATATACGATTGTTCTGCTTTTTCTATATGTTTAACAAAATTTGCCCAACGTTGTGGAGGGATGTTAAAAACTTCGGTTTCTATAAGCTTGAGGACATTGGAGTGAACACGGGGAAAACATTGTTACGACGAATGGAGATTTCAGTTGGTGCCAAACATGTTCAATGGGATTAAATATACAGTGGTAAGGTGGAAGCCTTAAAACTGAATGCCATAGATTTTTTGCATAATTATCACAGACGTATTCTTTCTGTAGGTTCAAGCTTTGTAGAACCTCAATTAATTGCTTTTTGGTATAATCTTCGTGAGAATAAATGTCGGTGTTATACATGTAGTTTTGGATTGCTGCTTTTGTGTCACATGAGGACGAGGTTTTAGTCAACTGTCTACTGTGATAACTTGCATTGTCCATTACAATTACGCTATTAGGAGGAATGTTTGGATGTAGTTGTTTTTAAACCAATTTTCAAATAAATCAGTGGTGGTCTCTTCATGATAATCCAGAGAAGAATCTTTAATATTTTTCGCAGACAGAGAAAGTCTATTTGGAATCCAACCATCTTTAGAGCCAGCATGCAAATTAGTTATTCTTTTACCTCTTTTTGATGGCGCTTTTTTTACACTTACCAGTTAAGTGAACTCAACCCTTTTTCAGGGTATCATAAGTGTCGCTCCGCTTGGGGATCGCCCCGTGTGTGAGGCGGGGAGCTCTCGAAGCCTGGGCGAGAGACCGGGCCGCGGTGGGCTGGAGAGTTGCTCCGGGAATGAGGCAGGCGAGGCTTATGATGGATGAGCCTGCCCTTCCACGGACCGGGGAGCTGCTTAGAGTGACCAGATGGGAGTGTAGAGCACTAACAGAGGCCTACACAGGACATTGCAGGCTTAGGAGGCATCTTTGCTTGCTAGGCATTGGAGACGACCAGGAGTGCAGGTGGTGCATGGAAGGGGAGGAGAATCCGTATCATCTGATATTCCAGTCGCCATTTCCTAATTCTAAAAGATTCCATTAAAACTTGCCTTTTGTCAATTTTTTTAAATCTAACACCTATGTGTTGAATACACTTACATAACGTAGTTCTGCCACATTTAACACCGGTTTAATCTTTTTCAAGCCTCCTAATTAAGATATCTAATGTAGGCACGCTTGGTTCCTCGTATAACTGGTAAATTTCACGCCGTATTATATCTTGATCACTTTCATCTACACTCGAGAAAATGGCAGCATCGCTTCTTTTTTTGCTCGCTGAAATGGGATTATTCACAATTTTCCATACAGTTCATGTTGGAATTTTCGTCAATGTGGCCGTTTCTTCTAAAGATGCTTGCTTGCTGGCAAAACGTTCGATGAGAGTCAAATAAACATTCTTTATAACTTCCTTAGTCTCAATAGAATAATGTTTTCTACATTTGGGCGGAAGCATCTCCTGAGATACACTGGTCTCGCACATATCTTGCATAATTCGCACACGACTCAACACACGCTGTATTACACACGAAATAAGAATGATTGCTAATAAACTTAAACTAAGTAGAATATCAAATCAAAGAATATTAAACACAGGAAGGTATATAATTATTTTCTCTTACGGACTACAATTTTACCTGAATTTAAATTCCGAAACTTTAGGTCTTGTTGCATTGTATGTTAATGACCACCCTTGCATAATTCCATTCAAAAGCAACTGATCAGTTTCTTATATCTATGAACAGACCATAATTTATCATAAAAGTTCAGGTTTAAAGGTTTCTGATTGATTTATTAAGGCTGGTGTGAATTAAAAGAAAAAAACAAATTCTTAATTGGACTTAAAGGACACCAGTTTAAATTAATAATTTCAATATGCTTGGAAAATGAATATGATTTTTTTAAGTTATAATTTCGATAAATGTGGTAAATAGTTTATTTTAAAATGTTTATTTCTAATTGCAAATTCTACTTCTGAGATTCCGTTATTTCGAAAGCGTTGCCTATTAAAAATGATGACATAATTTTAGAAGGAGAAGCAATACCTATTTCGTACTATTTTCTGGCAAAACGCAACATACTTGTTCTACATAGGTCCATAAAATAATTGTCTCAAAATTAAGATATCCTTGATATAATAAGTTTGACATCCTCAATTTGAAAATGCTTTGACGATATACTTTCTATTATAGTACATAATCGTATAGTACCGTTTGGTTTGAGTTGATCTCATATCGTGGCTGCACGAAACCTGACGAGGCATAAAGATTGGTCATATGAACTTTCAGTGCAGTTTCAATTCTAGATTTCCAGAGTCCGTTATTTTTAAGTATTGAAAGCTACGTATTGAGAACACTATGATTACTACATTCACCACCTACATCTTTTAAGTATATTATACAGAGTAGAGATTTTTCGCAAATACATCTGAATGTAACTATCTGTTTAAGAATGTTGGGGGTCACATCTGGTGCAGGCTAGAAGCCTGGGAGTTCATCAATAATAATGAAAATTATTTGCTTGTAATATATATGTTTTTGGATGCAGTATCAAAATTTGGTATATGGTATATGGATTGTTCTATTCTGACAAAACTAGATACAGACCAAAAAATGTCATGACAGTGTTGAAGTAGTTGCTTTTGTTTATAATTTTAATGTATTTAAGGCTTGGAAAGAATATGTGCCATAGTTTTGTTTAGATTAAGTGTACTTCTATATTTTAGGTAATTTGTATAATTTGTTAATAAAAAAAGGGTTATACTCCTTTTTTTTAAAGATTTCCTAGCGGAGAAGCAGACAACCAAACTCTAACAGAAAATGTACAATACGAAAAATTGCCTATACAAATTAGAAGGTACATACATTTTCGAGATTAAAAGAAAATTTTCAAAGAAACTTCGACAGACTACTGTAATACTTTTTACAAAACTTCTGGATTCCTCCTGTGTCGGTTTTTGCTGAGTCGAACTTGCTGACGTTTCGCCAATCATCCTGTTGGCTTCTTCAGACGTATTCATGGTATTCACGATCTTCCATTAATCGCCTTATTTAATAACCTACAAAAAATACTTTCTTTAATTTTGCAACGGACAGAGCTGCAAATTTTCCACATAGGTATTTAAAACACGCTTCATCTTTATTTAAAGCTTGAGCCAACTGCTCATCAGTCCTAAATTAATATGCAACGGTGTGGTCAGTTCTTTTGTTTCCATTGTCTCACCAAAAAAAAGAGGGGTACATATCATGACTGTTGACCTAGTGGGAGGCTCACAACGGTAGTTCCAGATTTTCGTAGCATTCTTTCATTTGCACAGAATGAGCAATAGGTACAAAAGTAAGAACATTTCCGTTGTGCAAAGGAACAGCTTTAGGGGTTTTCTTGGATGAGTCAGTAAAAAGCTTTCAGGCCTCAGTAGTCTGACCAAGTTTCTTATTATAAAAAGTAAACCACTTTGTTCAAAATAGCCTATAAATTCTGACTCACGCTTCCTGAAAAATGAGATTCCAAATTCTTGTGTCAGTAAATTTTTATTTCGAAGGTAGGATGTTAAAATATCGGAAGGACCCTTAGGTAGACCTAAGTCTCTTCCTAAGTCATCAAGTTCTGATTGTAAAAATAACGGTGGTTACTGAGAAACATTCCAACATCACTAAGGGTATCTCAATCTACTTCAGGTTTAGGAAAACTGGTTGTATCTTCTTCTAAGTTGGCTGGATTCTGAGGTATTGGGACACCTGGACCACGTGGGTCCACTGCTCTAATTGCAGACTTTTGCAGTTTTTTAGTACTAAATCCACGAACATACAGAACTAGTGATCGGGGGGTTCTCTCCATATCATATTATATCATTTCATATTTTAATGTCTTATACCTTTCTCGCATAACTTACAAACAATATGTGGCGCCCAAGGTTTGTCCAGGTCACTAATTTTTATTTTAAAAAATAGGCTTAGTATTGCTTTTTAAACAGGGGTGTAATTTTTGTCCAAATTTCGTAAGCACAAAAAAACCGCACAAATAGGAAAACGTATCTGAAATATTTTTAGAAAGTCTTGACATTTTCTCAAAAATTAATTCAAAAATTTTGCGCGATAGAAACATTGTTTTTTAGTTCAGTCCCTGTAACTCCAAAAATATAAAAAATACTAAACCAGAATAGATTCGTCGGCCTGCGTTATTTAAACATGAAACAATATTATTGTAAAAGCGAGTTTTTAAAAATTTCAGTTGCATGCATCGGCGGAGTAAGCATTCCCTTAAATCGTATATCAGAGCAATAGCTTATTTTATGAAATAGGAGGAGATTTTCTATAGAACAATTCTCTAGCCCAATATCTAGCTTTTGTATTGAAACCCTTTACAGGGAAAACTAATATTTTCCTATCATTTCAATAAATGGTTAATTTCCACGTACTAAGGTCCCTATTCCTGAAACTGTCAACATTATTTCAATATTATTAAATCGCACTTTATAAAAAAAATGCTTTTCTGGAATGCATTTTTCTTATAACGGTCAAATGTTTGAACAAACATCGGAAACAGCTATGGGTTCTTCATTATCACCAATCATCGGCAATATCGGTTATTAACAATCTTGTCTACAGAGTCGGAAAACTATTTCGACCGTAGTCATTGAACCCAGAATTAAAACAACTTACATTTGATCTTCTCTCTAATAACTTCCACATTAGAGATATTAAGCGTTTCATCCCAAAATACACTTCACCACAACCTTCCAAAGGCAATGAGCTCGAAAGCAACCCCACACTTGTCACCTTGTCACTGTTATTCTTCTCTACATTCAAAACATCGCTGACCACATATCAAACGTTGCCAAATTCCTTTTGAGATACCAGGAGTTTCCAGCATACGTTGGAGAGACTCCGACTGACAACATTTTGTAATTTATTTATTATCCTTGCATATAGCTATTATTATTGTTAGGATTATTAAAATATTTTGAAGTTTCTCATTAGTTTTGCATTCATAAATTTATCTTAGTTTTTCAAACCAAGCAAACTCAGCGAGATTTCTAACCATTAATTTAAACAGGTTGCAGCATACATGTTCAAATACCTTTCCGATATCTTGACATCGTTTCTCTCGTGTTTATAATAAAGTTTAACCATATCTCGTTTTTCTTTACTGGTAGGGTTCATTTTTAATGACACAGTAATGCACTAAATATTAAAATTTTATCTACAAATTTGAAAATTCATAGCTTAGTATGGTATAAAAGTTTTTGTTTAATATTTAGAATTTGAGAAAACCCTTGTAACCTCGTACAGGATCCATAAGATGAAGCCTAAAAAGTTCCAATGAGAATGTATTTTCAGTTTTAAAATAGATATAAAAAAATAAAACGAAGCCGGAAGTTTCAGATTTTCCGCCATATTTCCATACACCATGGTGCATTGTTGCGCTAACTTAAGTCACTTCTTTTGAGAGTCGATATAATATAATTAGTTCTATTTCAGGTAGTTCGCCGGTATGTAAACCGTGAACTATGGAAAAATAACGGAGGTAATAAACGGCCGTTCAAAAACGACGACGGCGTGAGTTATTATTTTTCGAAAATATGCGACTCGGATAGGAGCAGATTCCTCGATATTGTCGACGACAAAACCACAGAATGCATTTCCTGCGCCTGGCAAAAGGAAACGGACAGCAGGGACGCGCCTAAATTGACGACCGATAAACGCTGTTTCGAATGGCAAGGAGTAATCTACAGTGTGGGATCTGCGGTGTTTTTCGAATCCGGAGACTACCGGGAAAATGAAGACCCAGACAAGTCCGAAAACGTAAATAAAAACAAAATATAGCTTTATTGCTTTAACCATTAATAATGCCAAATTTATATTATCATATCCGTAATTAATTTTCCCAGCGAAAGACTAAAAAAGTCAGACATCTGGCACAGCCAGGTACCGTTACAGCCCAAAATTTAGCATATTAACAGACATACAAACAGACAAGGCTTGGGATGGGAGTGGGAGAGAATTAAAGACGGGGAAGTATCTAAGTAAAGGTTTACTTATCATCATCAAATCTTGCCAGTCAAACATTTTGCTTACCGGAAAGGTAATTTTCTAACTTATTTTTCAGGGTCAATAGTGCCAGAGAAAAGTCTGTTAAGGAAGCATATTGATTCATCGGATTTGCAATTTAGTATAAAAATGACCTTTTTAAATGCTTTCTTTGATGCAGTGGCATAGTAGTTTTGTTGTCCAGTTTGAAGTTTTGATTATTTTACAATTTTTATTTTGGTAATTTACATGGGCGCACCTGTGACTACTTTCTTTTTAGAAAACCTCTCCGATTTTAATGTATCTTTAGAGACTTTGTATGGTAAAAATTAATGTATTTTGGGCGATTCCTGCATACTCCGACTTTCTAGACACTGGTACAGAGAATCAATGTGTTAGATTGCTGCTTAGCAACTCTATGCACTGTATGAACCTCTCGCAATGGATGTGTAATTCTTCTATTACTTCAATTCCCTAATTCCTCAAATAGAAAACGCGACTTTCCTATGTCACTGGATAATATTTTTAATTTTAAAAAAGCTAACTTTCTGCTCGTGTACGATATGTTTTTAAATTTGGACTGGTCATTTCTTTTCCATGTTTTCTGATAAACTGTAGGAACGTTATGGGAAGTCGGCTAATAATAAGTATTCTCCCTGGTTTAATTCAAATATAATATACAATACAAAAAAAGCTGTATGACACAGAAGGTTCAGAAGTACGGGGAGTCCCTCAGAATTTCAAAATTTTAAATGCCTTAGCTCGAAGATAAAATCTGAAATTAGGGACTTTTATAAAAGCTATCTACTGAAAATTGAATATGACATTAAAAAAGATCCTGAAAATTGTTGGTCCTTGATTAAAAAGAAAAGAGAAATCTCAGGTGTAACCAGTTTTATGTATTAGTAATTCACGCCACATAAAACATAACATAAACATAAAAAAGTTATCTGAATATGAGATGGAAAAAGCTCTTATAGTGATTAGACTTAAATTCGCAATGGGTCGAAATATAATTCCAGCATTCGTTATATATGACTTGTCTTTTTGTTTTGGCTGAAATCGTTGCAATACTTTTTAATCTGTGTCTGAGAAACCAAACCGTTGGGAATGAAAAATGTCTAAAATTATTCCCGTCTACAAAAAAGGCTGTAACTCTGCAATTTGGAATCTCTATTATTGGATAAAATATTTCGTATTGCCAAAATCCGAATAGTCCCTCAACAATATCGGCGTTTTAATTACAGTTAGCAATTTAACGACCAAATCTCACTATATTTCTACCGCTATTGATGAAGGTTCTCAAGTGGACGTAATATATCTTGATTTTTTAGAAGCGTTTGGTAGTCTAGATTACAAAATTCTAGGCAATAACCTTCGTGTTTTTCGATTTTCTGAATCGCTTATTCATTTGTTTCCTCCATACTGGCCTAACCGCAATCCGTACGTCTATAACTTCCGATGAATACGTTGCGTCCTCCGGCGTTCCTCAAGAGGCCGTTATTGACATTGGTAAAGACCTTGATATCAGTATTTTGATATATGTGGAGGATGTTTTTTTTTAAATCCGGTGTTCAGAGGATTGTCTTACTCTCCAGCGTAATTTGGAGCAAATCGACAATTGGTCTCTAAATAATAGTTGCAACTTAATACAGCTAAGTGTAATGTAGCCTCTTTTACGGCCGTGAGTGTAGCTGTGAAATATGACCATCATCTTTTTGACAAATCTCTCTCGACTCGAAATTATTCTTTATTCAGCATGTTAATAAGGTACTGGTAGAAACCATAAAAAGCACTAGAGACTTTAAGAATACAAACGTGATAGAATATTATAAAACTCATACGCTGTTATAATGATTAAACTATGACATCACTAAAGTATAGCAAAGAAGTCATTTAGTATCCGGTGCAATATGCAATCTTTAATTTGTTTTTAATGTTCTCTCTACTTTTATTCATTAAGATCGCTTTTTTAGTTTTGACAATTAACAAAAGTTGATACGAATTTACAAGACCACTGAATCACATATGATGAAGAATTAAAATGAGGATTTCATGATTGCTGAACCAAGTAAAACGAAGGGGGAAATTTTCTTATCATCCTATATAACATTGGATTCAGAACGTCCTAGGACCTTGTCCAAAGCCTATTTTCTATGCGAGTCTGTCACTCCATGACCTCTATCTCAGATATCGCGAACTCATTGCCTTGGACGCTCCTTCTTTCATGGTTTCTACGGTTTGGCGGTACTCATTCGATAACCAGTTTTGGTGACCTTTGGACATGTCCAAACCATATGAGTTGCTTTGTTTCAATGTCAGTTGTTAAAAAACCCTTTACTCTCATTCTTTCGAATTCTTTCTCTTCTGATCTTCAGAATACAGCTTTCTTCGTTTGCTTTCTGTGACTCTCCACGTCCCTGCATTATAATGCAGACTACTCTTAATAAGCCATTCATAAATAAAAAGTCAACTCCCAGATATTTGGTAGCAGCTACCTAATTTAATTTCATCTGATTCCAATTGAATATTAAACAGTTCCTTTTCCATGGACAAGAACTTAGGGTATTGAGTTCTAAACCACAGTGTATTGCAAGTTGTTTTTGTCATTGGCTATTATCACTTGATCATCGGCGAATGGTAAGGTGTATAAGTGTGTCACCTATTTTGATTCCATTTTCCCGTACTTTGAGGCCTGGGCAACAAATATCTTAAAGATATGGGTGGGTGATATGCTGCTTCCCTGACGTATTCTCTTATTTACAGTAAACTGATGTGATATTCCGTTATCTATTTTTATTGCTGATGATTTATTAATGTGAAGCTAATATTGGTTTCCTCTGAGTCATTCCATAACTTTTTAATAGAAACAGTGTCGTAGGCTTTCAGAAGATTTACAAACTTAAGATGATTTTCTTCATTCGTGCTTGATTTTTTTTCTGTTATCTGTTTCAGAGAAAACACGTTTTCAGTACATGTTCTGTTCGCCCGAAAACTCGATTGCTGCTCTTCCTCAAATTGCTTATATTCTGCTTCAATTAAGTCTCTGATAGTTCTTCCAGGACTAAGGGTCTTTGTTACAGATACACCTCTGTAGTTGTAACAACCTAACTTATTTCCTTTTTTATTCAGCGATGATGTGTATGCTTTCCATTCGTCTGATATAGGGGTGTCGTTTGATTGATTTATACACCAAATAAGTTGTTTATAGAGTTTCGTTCGTCTCCTTGAATTAGTATTTCAGATGGTGTAATTAATAATAATAATAGTCTTTATTGAGAATTGAGATACACAATATACATAAAACGCAGTATACAATACTAAAATCCCAAAGGCGAAGTATAGCTGACTAAGTCAGCTACTCAACATTAATCCAACACAATTAATCTATATATTATACAACTTTTTGACAATACAATTTGTAACAAGAGAACCCTTAATAAATAAAAATAAAATATAAACAAAAGAAAAGGAATGTAAGTATTTATAGAAATAATTATCTGATTAATTAAAAGACGAAAAGTCCAATCAGCACTTTATTTATCTATTAACACCGCTTTAATGTTCTTTCGAAATAGATTTAAATATGATAGGGCAAATAAGTGTTTATGCCGATTAAAAGTTTTTGCCGTATTATAGGTAAATTCCCGCTTGTAAAGGGCAGATCTGTGTTGAGGGATAGTTAGCCTATTCTCCCTAATATTTACGTTGTGGGTTTCACAGCTAATCTTTTAAATAGGCAGGGCTAGAAGACTTTGAGCTCTTGTATATTAACGAAGCGAATGGGTACTGAAATAAATTGTCTATGCTCACCAAAGCAACAAGTTAATTTTAGGGGACATGTAGTCATATTTCCTTCAGGCATACACAAACCTACAACAGTTGTTTTGTATTTTTTGAAGGCGTTGACGATCAAGGAGTGTTAAATATGGATAAAACAATACGAGACAATATGACAATATGACAATTAGCTCTGTTTTTACAAATCCCTGGCTTGTGTTTATACTTCTCTGCAAAATAACGGATTTTAGGTCTCTTGTCTGCTGTTTCCGGGGATACGTATCTATGTCCTTATGCTGACAGAACTCAACAATTTTATCTCCATTGTCTTACTGGCACACTACTTCACTATTTGTTTTACGGTCTACTCTGCCATTAAAATCTCCCAGTATTATTAGTTCCTTTGTTTTTCCAATTTTGGCAATTTCTTAGTTCTTTTTTCATAAAATTTAAAAATGTCATCTATTACATCTGCCAGAATACTTTCACAACTATAACCAGATCTAAAACCTGATTGTTTCGGAGGTAAAAATCGGAACTAAGAGATGGAAATCAGAATTATATTAATAGGGTTTCTTCAGAAAATAATTGTAAAAAGCTCCGGGTTTCAATATTTTGTCGAGTAACAATAGTTCTAAGCAAATTATTTATCTTGCTCCAACCAAGAGATTTTTTGTTAACTTTTTCTTTCAATTATCATTTTTTCATTTCTTGTTTCATTTAATCTGGCAAAAGTTTCTCAAGTACGTGACATTTTAAATAATATGAAAACGAAATTCAAACCCATCGTCGTTTAACGATCTTCGCGATATGAGTATAAAATTTAAATATTTAAAAGTTTTTTATATAATCAAATTTATACATACATTTCATTGATAATTTAATTATACCAAAAACTCAATGCCGTTTTCGAAAGAATTTTGGAACATTTGACGACATTTTGTATGCTTTTGATAAGAAGAGGAACATTATCCTTATTCGGTTAGACTACTCGA